ATTTGCTAAAACTAAAAATTGAACTTTAGGCCAAATTTTTGACTTTTTGCTAAAGTGCAAGTATGATCTATATGAGAGATGTCCGGGGTCCTATGTGATCTGGCCAATTATTTATATTTATATTGGACTCCTGTAGCCGATGTTTGGAAGGTAGTACTTGCAACGCCTACTAGAACTCATTATAGCTGTAATTCTCTTAGATAGATTCATTGCAAGAGCCTCTTTCCAGAAACTCATTTTCGTCAATGCCCATTACCATGATTTTCTTATAGTTAATGCTTACAATATCATATTTTTTAGTGACTAAATTATTTTTTTTGTAGATGGATATTTCAAGCGGAATTTTTTTCTGTTTTAGTAATAAGAGGTTAAAATCTGGAGCTATATGGGTTGTCTCGAATATTTAGCAAAAGTATGTATGTGCTTGATATCAGAAGATTGTGACGAAATTCTTGACAAATACAAGAACTATTTGCTTGTAATAACCAAGTCGACATCATCACTTAAAAAAGCGAAAGACAAAGCCCATAAGCTGAATAATGCTGCGAATCGTTAAAAGAATTGATACACAGATACATTGATTGATTTAATCGTCATTAAATTTGTGTGTAGGTAATATATGTAGACCAACTTATTTGACAGGTTGACACAAATGCAACCGAAGATCTTGTAAATGCCACCAAAAATCTTGTAAATACAAAAGAAAATTTATATGGATCGAAACTGAAAACACGTGCATATGACAGATTAGAAAATACAAAAGATGATTGTTTATCCAAATGCCTTAGACAAGAGACAATAATTTCAGAAGAGAACAAAAAACAAGTATAGTGTCTTTTGTTATTTTTTTTGGTAAAATGTTTTTATTTGATAGTAAGCATTTAAGCTTTTCTCTTTCTAGCCTGACGCAAATATAATATCCAAAGCAGATAATAATAATTTTGATAGTACATTAAATTAATGTAATTTGTAAAAATTATGATTCCTTTATAAATAATTATATCAATTAAAAAGTGAAAGGATGACAATGAAGATAAAGATACAGAAAGAGTCGAAGAATCATATTCATCCAACTATATTATTGACATCTCTTCCGAGTCTTGTTCTCGGCAACAAACATTAAGTGATTCATTCTTATTACCTCTTTTAGAGAATTATTGTGCTAAAGAAACAACCTCACTTTTCAAGTAACTGTTGTAGTAATTGGTTAATGATATTTTGACTACTACTTACTTTCTATTTATTTATTTTTTTTTTTAGCTCAGCACACAGTTATATTATAGATCTGTCTCCGCTTTCAAAAATAAAAGGTGAATTTAATGATAAGCAGTGGGCTGAGTTAGTCAGAAGAAGACCTGATGCGGTCCGGAAAGCTTACTATTATGAGATCGAGCCTATTATCACCCACTTGTTTGAACAAAAAGTAAGGATTTTTCGAGTTAGAAAGTAAACTTGGTCTTATCATTGATTTTTTTTTTCTTATTTTAGACAGATTTATTAGAGGCTCGTAAAAGATGATACAAACTTAGAAATTTGGCTGCTCCTGCATATGATAACAGTTTCTTATATGCAGAAGGTGATTGGGAAAAAATAAAGCATTGGGTAGAATGAGTAACGAGACAATTGTACATTGTTAGACTCATTATTTATCGCGCAATATGACGAATTTTTGTTATGATGCAATCAATTTTTTTTGGTTTATTATTATAGTCTAGACACATTTGAGTCCCTTCGAAATCCACTACAAAATGACTATCATGAATGAGAGTAGACTAGTGATTATATCATTCCTTTAATACAAGGAGCTCTAAAATTAGATAAAAATTTTTATATCTCATGGTAAGTTGCGAATCTCTTCATTTATTGTACAGTACATGTGCATAACATATAATTTTCTCTTGTTTCGAATTTTGTTAAAGAGAGAGATTTCTGTTCTCACAACCCAACGCTGTCAAAATAATGACAAGAATATACTTACTGAACAAGTTGAGCAAAGTCATCAGGTGGATCTCTTATGTAATTATGAGCAATACGAGGTTGCTTGCGTACTTGCTTGCAGTGGACCATATATCTATGATTTAACTAAACTCACCTCAGATGAATTTAACCTTTCAAGAATTATGAAAGATATGCTCGATGACTTTGAATCAAAGTTTCTGTATGCCGGAAAAAAAGGATTGCATCCATATATTATTGGGATCCAGGTGCGATAATTACTCATATATGGATATATATAAAGAGAAGTAGTACTTACATGCTTTGTTTGTATTTGCTCAGACATATATAACAGAGGTTCGAGTCTACCTGATGGAGAAACGTAGAGTATATTTTCTTTATTATCTAAAATTATTTAATCTTCTGCTTATATTTTTGGCTTACTACTATCTAAAAACTACTTTAAGAGTGGCATAGAACGTTCGGGTGAGTCTTGATTTTTTTATACCAGAAATAATGTTACTGGAAATATCTGACTATCATTTTATTAATAATTACAGGGCTTGATTAACTTCTTGGTTTGGAAACTCGATACTATTGATGATGATGGGTTTAAAACTCCCCCTGTAACATTGTCAAATAATATAAAGACTCAACAAACTCCACCAAAACAACAAAAGAAAAAGAAAGCAAAAGAAGACTTAGCAAATGCCACCAAAACAACCAAAGAAAAAGATTAGAGAACTGATTTAGGTGTTATATTGTTAGTATCGTATAATGTCTTGGAACTATATGTGTGTATCGGATAAATAAAATTTTAATACAAATTGGCATTACAAAAAAGTGTATTTGAATTTTTAAATCCTTAGACTTTTTAATACAAAAATAATAGAACAATTCTAAATATCATCTAGGATAATTTTATTAAAAAGTTTTCTATATATAAATTATATAAATTATATAAATATAATTAATTTAGAGAATGCCTATTTTCACCATAGTAATTTGCTTAGTGTTTGTAGTCGACCATTATTTATTGACTTGACTAAGTCAATATTTAAAAATTGGCTTAGCCGGCTAAGTCAAGTTAATTATTCGAAGTTTTATTTGATTAAACTTCAGAAGCTATTGGAGATTTCCTTAAATTTTTTGTCTCAACCTTGCTTGTATTTTATGTTTGTTAATTTTCTTTTCAGAAATTTTCGAATTCTAGTATAAATTTTTAATAAACATATATGGAGGCTTTGCAATAGAAAGGGCAAATACGACCCCAAAATGAAAAATTGAGTATTTATTAAATTCTAGTAAATTTCAATGTAAAGAACATTTTTTAATTATAAATGAAAGTCAATTTGCATAATAAAAAATCAAGATACATAATATAAAAAAAAGTTGCTTGAGGTTGAAACTAAGCACATCACGAGATTATCTATTAGGCACATGTTATATTTAGCCAATCAAAATCATGAATTTTGATTAACCCAGATCAGTCCAAAAATCAAAACAAGTGATTAAATTTAATTATCTCAAAATTATATATATTGATATATCTGCCTTTCTACTGCAAAGGCCTCATATAACCTATTGTGTAGTCAACTAAGTTAATTTTTTGAAAATCGACTGACTAAACCAGCTAAGCCGATTTTATCAACTAATACAAAATCAACTACAAATACTAAATTTGCTATTTCCACTATAGTTATACAAAATTTTCTATTTTTAAAGATGGCTAAAGCCATGTACCCACTAGAGTTGGGGCTTACTAATTTCTCCCACCACTTCCCATTAAACAAATATAAATATCATTTTCCATTGAACGAAACCAATTATATCATTGATCGGGGTGGCTAAAATTTTACGTAACTATCTAATATGTCACAATTAAAGAATAAATTATTTCTTTTTGCAATAATTACATTAATTAAAATTTTTTTTTCTTTTAAAAAAAATAATTATTTTCAACGTTTTGCTCTTTTAGATTTTAGCACTTTCAAGTTTTTAGTAATAATTTCATATAAACGTTTAAATAAATTTTTGACAGAAATTTTTTATTATATCCACTTTTTTAAATCATACTGCTATACGAAAATCTAAAAACAAAATAAGTATTAATTTTATTTTTTTTTGGTTTGCTTTGTTTTATTTTGTTTTGTTAGTGTATGAATTATTTAACAACTTAGCAGTGAGTGATTTTAGCTATTGGGATTCATTATGTTGATCGATTGTAACTAGGTAGTGTTGCACTTTTCAAATAAAGAAAATTGGAAAAGTTCGACAGAAGAGTTTTTGAATGGAATCTCAATAATTTTGTTTGCAATTTGGCTAAATTTTTTGAAAAAAAATTCATAACCACAAATTATTTCATTATTTGTTGAGTCATTTTCCAATTTTGCTGTAGTATTTTGTTGAATTTCTTTACGGTTGGCAGAAAGTTTCTCTGTTGCTTCTTCATTTTGGGAAATACTAGCGTCATTTGTCAATTCTGAATCATCATTTTCATATTTAATATCAGATATTTCAATAACACCTATTTTCAGCATTACTAATTAGCAAACTAGCACCTATTAAAATATTGTCAGGGTTACTGTATGATTTCCGAAAGCTATTTTCTTAAAAGAACTTAATACTGACTAATTATTGTATTAGTATTTAAAATAATTAGCAATTTGTAGTAGCATTTTATTTATTTGCAGTATTGTAATAGTATCAATAAAATATTTTAAATGTTCATGTTAATTATTTTTTAAACAAAAGTAAATTTGCAGCCAGAATATAATTAAGGAATTTTGAAAAAGATTTGGTATTTTTTAAAATTGCAAGCTTGTAAATATAAGTCTTAGCAAAATTTTATTCTCGAGAATAAAGTATCAAACAAAAGACTTTATAAAATTTTCTTGGTTGTGTCAGAAACACTTATTTTTAATGTTTAGATTGCTTAGATTATTTTGATTTTTTTTTTTAACTACAAGAAAAAATTTTGAAAGTGTATAAACTTTCGCTTAATAATTATTTGAATTTTTTTTTTAAAGAAAAACTAAACGATGTTTTTGATTTTGCAGCTGTGGTGGCATGATCTAGTTTACCCAATTGAAGATAGTGTTTCATGCGAACAATCACAACTAGTAGAGAAATTAGGGCACCTCTAGAGTTGCAAGTAAATCAAATCTTCAATGGTACACCAATTTACACCAATTAGCATTGGTGATACTGGTGATAATGGTAATACTAGTGGTATTAGTAGTACTGGTGATACTAGCAGTCTAGTAATGCTGATAGTATACACTATCTCAATAGCTAGCTAATTACATTGAGACACTTTAGTCTTTAAGTTTGTATGAGCTTTTCACATCTTATTTAGCTTCATATCTATTAGTTTGTATAATTATCTATCAAAAGCATTTCTAAATTATGCAGATTAGTATGAAGGTATAAGGTGTGAAATATTTCTATTTTTAATATCTGTTCCAGGGTATATAATATTAGAATTAGCATTAGAAAATTAAAGTGGGTTGGTATGATATGTTTTTAAGGAGATATTTTACACACTATATTATTAGTAGTTAGGCACATTCAAATGTCCATGCTTAAGATAACTCAATACGTCATAAATCAGAGTAGGTTGGTTATGCAACAAAATTCTTAAATTCCGAATCAAAATGGATTGGATTTGATAGATTTTGCCAATAATCCAGTAATCCATGTGCTAAATAAATTGTTCAGATACTAATTTTGCTATAATATTGTTAATGTTGTAGCTGATGCTGAAATTTGAATATATTTTTATATAGATTTTAAAATTTTGGAGGCATTTTTTTATTTTTATTTTTTAGAAATAGGTTAGAGTTTAGGGATAGGTTTGATATTTAAAAGAGTATAGTTGAAATTTAGCAAAGTTTATATTTTTAAATCAAGTTCCCAAATTTCAGTATCATTTAATTTAACTTTAGCTGTGATAGTTATTATTGCTTAATATAGGTCTAACCCGATGCATTCCAATCTATTAGTAAATTGCATGATACCATATTCGAAATGAATAATATAATATGTAAAGTATAATATTTCAAGATTAGGTAACTAATTAGAAATGAAAATAAAATGATTAAAAGAAAAAGCAACCTACTGAGATAAAATAAGATATGTTAAATATAAACCCAAAAATGTATAGAAATCAAAAAGAAAAGAAAATTTCTAACTTTTAAGCTTATTATTTATTACTTATCAAGTGAAAATCTAGTCAATGAGTTAGATATTACTATTATATTATCAGGTTTTTAAAAGCCAAATCGGTAAAAATAAATTATAAAAAATTAAGTATGATTTACTCTTATCATTTAGGTAATCCAAACTAAAATTTTATTATGTTATATATAAGATTAATCCGGGTTCAAAAATAATTGCCCATTTGTAATATTCATCAATTGGGAAATAACATTGTCATGTTAAACTAAATGTAAACTTAATTTAAAAAATTTCAATGCAAAATAGTTATTGTCCGGAGCATAGCAGAGGATGATCAATAGTGCAGTGATAGACCAGAATTTGTGTATAATCTTGTCTGTATCTATTTTTAGATTTGATGATCATCAATTAGTGTTTGTAGTCGACCATTATTTATCAACTTGACTAAGTTGATATTTAAAAATTAGCTTAGCTGGCTAAGTCAAAGTCGATTATTCGAAGTTTTATTTGATTAAACTTTGGAAGCTATCAGAGATTTCTTCAAATTTTTTGAAAAAATAACTGACTAAGCTGGCTAAGCTGATTTTATCAACTAATACAAAATCGACTACAAACACTCTAATTCATCTATTTTTATTTTTAGTTAACAGCTTAATAAATAATAGCTCTGGATATTTAACAGTGTTTGTTTTCCTAGTATATATAATAGTTTTGAATTGAGATGAATAATATCAAATATACAACTAAATACAGTATAACTACATTAATATGAACGTTATAATTAAACAAACAAGAAATTTCGTAAGCTTTAAGATGCATAGTATAGTATGTAAAATACCTCTTTTAAAACATATTATACCGATTCACTATAATTTTTTAATGCTAACCCTAATAATATATTATACTGAAACAGATATTGAAATAGGGTATTTTACACTCTATACTATATAGATCTAGTTATATTAATTGGCATAATTTAGAAATGTTTTTGGCAGATGATTATACAGACTAATAGAATAAAAAGCTAACCCTATAAAAAATTTCTATATAGAAAATATACAAAACTTATATTGAATATATAGATTTTATATCAAAATGTTGCGAAAACTCAATGTATTGAATCGATCTAAAATAGTAAGTTTTTGTTAAGATTTTGTATAAATTCTATATTTTTCTATATAATTATTTTCTATTAAATAAATAAAATGTAAAAAGCTCATATTAAAAACTTATAATAAATAATTGCTACTCAAAGTAATTAGCTAGCTATCAAGATAGTGTATAAATACTACAATTGATTAAAGCGATCCTTACTATATTTTGCTGAAGTTTTATAATGCAAATATGGATAAAAAATTTTAGTTAATTAAAACAAGTCTATGACAAAAAAAGGTAGTTTCAGTTTTTTTTTCATCATAATAAGCTACATTCTACTAATTAAAAATTGATATTGTTCAATTGATTAAATAAAAAAAGTCTGAAGATACTTTTTTAAGAAAATCTAACATTAAATAATGAAAAGTTTGTAGCCCAATTTCAGCTTACTAAAGATTTTTAGAAC